AGAGGAGCCATACAGGTGCAGTGAGACCCAGCCCCAATTCTGGCTCTGCTCCCCTCCAATGCACCTCAATTTTTTTCAGTGGTTAAAAGCTTGGCACAGTGTCAGTGAAATTTAAAAATACAATGGAATTAGAAAAGTATTTCAGAGGTACCACTTAATCCTCACAAGTTGAACTAAAATGCTGCTCATTTCTGCTGGTCCTCATTCCCTCTCCCTTGCTTTGATGTTGACTGTCTTAATGACAATATGCAAAATATAACAGGTCAAGGGAATCTTGTAAAAGAGAAAAGAGGATTCACAATGGCAAATTACCTCCATATCACAGTCCCTCATTACTGAAAGAACCCATTTTGATGGGGAGATTGTCAGGGAAATAATAGATTGACTGCAATTAAAATCATACTTTTGCAAAATATTTCATATTATGTAAAATATTCTCATTGGGCATTAGTTATCTATTTCAGTTTCCTGTTTTATTTTTTGTCTTTTTTTAAAGGGTGGAATGTATGTTTTCCAGCTGTTTGACTCCTATGCGGCTAGTGGAATGTGCCTTCTTTTTGTTGCTATATTTGAATGTATCTGCATAGGCTGGGTTTATGGTGAGTTACTAAATACTGTTATGTTCCGTCTGTATGAAAGTTGTTCATTTGATCAGAGCCTAATTTAGGCAGTGCAGGGCCTCTGTCTCACCATGGTCCTTAGAGCTCCAAACACAACTCTGCCTCTTTACCTTACCTTCCACTAGGATTGGCACTGTCAGGAGCAATCTTTTCCCTTCCAAACAGATAGAAGCAATGGCATGGGCTTTTTCCCCTCCCCACATTCCCCTGCCCCCCCACCTCTCAGAAGGGGCAGCTTTGGTGTTCACCTGGAACCACTCAGGGGGCATGTCTCCACACAATAATGTATTACTGCACAGCAGACTAAAGCAGTGCAATAAAGCATCACTGTCTACACGTGCATGGCAAGTAGGGTGCAGTAGATTAATTTACTGTGCAGCTGGATAGTCCTGTCAAATACAAATGGTACCCAACAGTGCAGTAAAGTACTGCACTTAAATGCATGTGTAGATGGTGACATTGGGATTATCTTACTCTGGCTCAAATTAGTTTACTCTGACTTAATTTCATGTCTACACATACACTTGATCCGGGATCAGTTTATTTGTGAGTAAACTACTCAAGAGTATACAGTCCTGGACAGGCGTCTGCACATGCAGGGAAGTGGAAGAAGATTTGCTGCTAATGGCAGCAAACTACTCCCACTTCCTGGGATCCTACAATGAGCCCCACACATCACCAGGGGGTGCTCCAGGCTCCCCCTGGGTACTAGCCCAAGAGCTGACAGGGAGCAGAGGGCCAGGAGAGAGCTGTCTGCTAGCCAGGGCTGGGACATTGCTCCCTGTCCCCTGCAGGCTGCCTGCTGCTGAGTTCGGGACAATGTCTCCCTGCCCCAGCAGCAAGGAGCACTTGGTCCCAGCTCCCCTATCGGGGCAGGGGACTTAGAAAGAGCTGCAGGGGAGGGGCAGTTCCCAGCATCCTGCCCCATCTGCTGGTGTAGCAGCTAGCTCACTGCTATCTGCCCCACTAGTGAATTGGGACAGGGGGCTGAGACCTGCCCTATCCCTGCAGCTCTTTCCAAGCCCCCTGCCTCAATCACCTGATCAGGGTACTGGGCTGGGACCTGCCCCTGACTGGGACAGTTCCCAGACCCCACTCCATGATAGTTAGGCAGGGGCTAGGATACCTGTTACCCACTCAATTCCATGAGTGTGGAGCTGGGTGAGGAAAAGGCTGGGGAGCCTGTTCTTCACTCAACTCCATGAGCGCAGAGCTGGACAGAGAACAGGCTGGGAAGCCCATTCCCCACCCAGTTCTATGTTCATGGAGCTAAGCAGGGTATAGGGTCTCCAGCCTGTTCCCCACCCAGCTCTGCAATCACAGAGCTGAGTAGGAAACAGGATCCCCTTCCCCTGCCAGCAGGGAGTTCCCAGTGCCAGCCTGACCATGGGACTGGCACTGGGAGATCCTAATCTCCCAGCCCAAGCTCTGCAGTCACAGGGTTTGGGCTGGGAAACCCTTATCTCCCAGTGCCAGCTCCATGATCATGGGGCCATCTCTGAGAGGTCCTTATCTCCCAGCCTGAGCTCTGCAGCCATGGGGTTTGGGCTGGAGGACCCTTAGCTCCCAGGGCCAGCTCTATGGTCGTGGGGCTGGCATTGGGAGTTCCTTATAAGGATAAGATAAAGATAAGGATCTCCCAGCTCCCCACTCCCAATCATGATGGCCAAGCAGGGGCTGGGAGCTAAAGGTCTCCCAGCCCCC